GGTGCTCAGATGTGGATTGGCTTATATAATTAACAATCCACATATGTTGGGTGTGATCGTTGTTTCTACTATCACTGTCTGTTATTCAGATTGCCTAGCAGTCATCAAGCCAACAACAACTACTCGAATGCCGGCTATCAAGCAATTATCGCAACAAAGGTGTCTATTAGTAGGCAGATATTATTGCCAGCAAAGACAAGGGAGACTGTGATTGCCACTTCTGGTTTATAAGCCGTCGTCAGCCAGTCATACCCACACCCAAATTGTGTCCCACCCGAACCTCGAACTCGGGACCTTTTTGATCAGCGTTAAACGCCCTGTTGAGGCCCAAGGCAGAAGGGAACAGATGAGTTCCGTTAGCTGTCAGATGAACGTCCGTCAACGAAAGGCATATATCCTTGATGAAGGCGATAACCGTTGATCTTCACAAAGCTGCGGTAACTGGGCGAATGCACGTAATACATACTGCAACCCTTATGTAATGTATTTATCTGATTACGTGTCCTAGCATGATCCCAAAACTTCATATGCATAAAGTTCTTCCTTCTGCAATCGCGCATGTCTTTTTACCTTTAACCTGGTACTCAAATATTAGCTGATATTGCTTTCTAGAAAGCAGAAGCCTGAAGAAGCGCTAAGCTTTTGCGAAAATCACATGAAGAGGAAGAGGAATGCATAAAATGCTGTTATGCAGCTGGAATACAATTGTAACTATTGGTCATTTTCAAGATATATGTTGACTTGTCCAGAATTACGATAGTTGTATTGTTTTAAGTCCCTTTATTTTATCGCGCACCAGCGATAGATCAGAAATTACTGGAATAAAGGTTTTTTACATGCAAGAAGGTTGTAGAAGTATGTTCTTTGAACAGCAGAGAACGTCAAGCAAGAAATTCTATTCAACATGGTTCAGGGCCAAGCAACCTAACATCAAAATGTCATCGTCCTGTGGCATCATTCATCCGCCTTCCCACCTATCTACTCCTATAGAGTTCATCTTTCCGAATGGTTTGGCGCATAAGCCACACCCAAACCTCAGGCAGCAAACCATGAGGCTGAAAGACCGCTACCAATGACAGGACAATCAGCGGTGGTCTGCAGTATGCTGTGCCAAAACTGTGGGATGACGTACGTTGGTGAAATGGGCAAACGTCTTGGCCTAAGATGGTGTAGACACCAGCTTGCAATCAGCCGCAGGATAAGTTACCTCTGGTTATTGACCTCGTTCAGTGGTACAACCACAGTCTCTCATCTAAGAAGGCGAAAGTAGTCAGCCTGAAGATGATTAGACTGATGTTCGAAAGGTGTTCCCCGAATGACACACTTCACCGAGACACACACCTGCACCCCGCCTACCATACGTCTCGAACAAGGCGAGGACCGTCGACCAAGATCACGCATGGCCTAGAGTAGGTGCCAACGAAAGAAGAGGCCGTCGCCGTCCGCCAGAGCTCACATGGCCAGTGTGAAACTACCTCCCCCTCTGGCCTACGTGATTGAAATTAACTCACACGAGCATCAACAACTGATCAGTCGGTTGGCTGAGGAGAAGCAGGCCAACAAACACTTTGATCTGCTAACAATTACGATTACAGAAAATGGGCCAAATGTTACGCGAGCACATTAGCCGTCAGTCTGAGGGCGGTAAACGCTGCTCAGCAGTCAACGGGCAGGCCAAAGTTCGTGCATAGAGCATGGATATAATCGGGCTTTAGGCCTGAAGTTATCAAGTCTAACAGGAATAGACAAAAGACTACTCTAAGTTTCCCAAAAGGCAGTTCAAATATAGTTTGGTCCATGTACTAGTCCCTGTTCTTGTTCTTGTTCTTCAGGTGTTGATGAAAACGAAATATGCGTTTATGTGCAGCGCAATGTTGTGAATTATTCAATAAGAATCTTTCACAGTTGCAGCCTTATTTTTACTAAGCCGGAGAGAAAATTCCAATACCGTTTCTTCTTCTTCTTCTAGCTTCAAGAAGTTAAAATAAAATGCCTGTACAATAGACGCGGACAAATGTGTTTTGCACGTATGCTAGTGTAGCGCCCAAGTTTAAATAGTCACACCTTGGCAGTGCTGAAGAAATGAATCACACCCACGGACAGTACTAATTAAACAGAGCTGTTGCAAGCTAAAGCAAAAAACAGAAAAATGTCTCCATATGCGGTTAACTCGCAAGGCAATATGCCATGATGTCTAAAATATCGTCATTACAAAGTTCTAAAAGATTATGAAAAAAGGGATTTGGACACAGGTACCCGATGGTTCCTTATAGTCTTATTTTATTATTTGGCGCCGTAGTTCCTAAGCCACAAAGCTGCCTTCAAATATTGCTGTCTAGTTAAACAAATTTCTTCACCACTATCCAAAAATGGACGGCGATGATTTTTTTCAACGCTTATTACTTTGGAAGGTTGCGCGTGTCGTAGCCCTTAGGTTGGAGATTGGTAGAAGGTACTGGTAGACTAGCGTAAAAAGTATATGCGATGAATTATAATGCTCCGTTTTCAGTGGATGATTGCAAAATTGACGGTGTTTTAAAACACGGTAATTTGAAATAATATTAGACGCTCATTAAAAAATGGGTACTATTAACTGAAATTTAAATCGTCTCAGTATGCTGCAAAATATGTCACTATAAATTGCCGAAGATATAGAAAGCAGAACCGTTTCTCAACATGTAAATTGCCCGCGGCGCTAAAGGTGATATAATTGTAATCCAGTAATTTAAACATTTATATGGCGTCGAATCCCAAGATGAAAGGTTTATCAAGACAGC